ATTTCTATTGGTCAACATTTTCTTAACATTAGCTAAGTGATCACTATTTTAGAAAGTATAAAAGACAATAAGCATAATAATATAAAAAAATCCAAAGAAAAATAAATGGTAGTCTTCCTATGTTGTAATTACAATCAGCTGCCATAAATCTTAAGTTTGAAAATAGCATAAATTAATTGACAAATTAAGTGTTAGCTTTATAGTTCCAAGGAGTTATGTTTAGTCCTCTTACAAAAGTTGTTGACATAAAGCTATGAGGTTTCTTAATCCCCCAAATAAAGTATACCATATTCATTTTATTTCAAGTATATACCTAAAATATCTTAAAAAATCTCTCAGACCATTAATTTAATGCTAGACATCATAGAAGATTAAACAAATATTTTTAATGACAAATGATTATTTACAATAACTGTTCAGGAAAATTATCATTATATTATTGTTATTCTAATTATTATAGCTTAACACCTCTGCAAATATAGCCTACTTATTGGGATTAATAAGTATGGTGGTACTCAACTAAGCACAATGTTTTTAACACCTGTCCACCTCAAAGCTTGGGGGTTTGTCCCACCTTCACATCCTAGGACGCTAGTTTATATCCTGGAACATGTTTACACATTACTCCAGGCTAGTCTTAGAGGGTTGCGGCACATAAATAAAATCCATTGGTGATTGGCGGGATTTTACTCGGGATCTCGGGCGTCAAAGTTCCACGCTCTACCATTAAACGAGGTTACTATTAAACTCTTATGATGGGATATAACATAATATCTTTAAAAGCATCCACACGTCTATAAAACATTATGTAAATTTCAATAACTTCGATAATAGGGTGTCCATAAAGTCTTGACAACATTTGAAATAGTTGTTGTTCGTAGAATTGATAGGACTATATATGTTTTATATATGTTATTTAACAGCTGATTTTATCAAGTTTTGTTTGTATATGTTGGTAACCTATAATTTCATTGTTGAGTGTGGTACCAAACAAAAGATACAATTCTTGTGTCTGTCGTAAAAATGGCTACTAAGGAAGAAAAAGCTCAATGTGTTTTGTAACTTGACGAGTCTAATTCACCTGTTTACGTTCAAAGACAGATCCGATTGTACTATGGGGGGGGGCAAGCTCCAAGCTATAGATAAATTATTCCTTGGTTTAATAACTTCAAGAACAATGGAAGTGTTGCGGACCTGCCGCGTTCAGGTAGGCCTAAAATTTTAGAAGAAACCGTCGATGCCGTTAGACAATGCTTCACACGCAGTCCACATACATCAGTTCGCAAAGCTTCCAGGGAACTTGGTTTACCACATACCACTGTACATAACATTTTGGGTAAAAAACTCAAACTAAGCGCATACAAGATTCAACTAGTGCAATTTTTGAAACCGAATGATTACCCTTACCAAGCTTCTTTTGCTAATGAAATTTTAGATCTCATTCATGTAGCTAACAACTATCTTAGACATCACACTTTTAGACTTCTTCTTCTGGGGCTTCGTGAAAGACAAGGTTAATGCTACATCTGTCTCAGACGTGGGCGTGTTGAAGACCAGGATCAGAGAAGCAATTTCAACAATCACTGAAGAGATGTTGGCAAGTACTTGGGAGGAAATTGAATTTAGACTGGGAATTATACGGGACACAAATGGGTCACATGTGGATGTGTACTAATATTATATGAATTGCATATAAAACTTTTTTTCATGCTCTTTCTAAAAAATGAAATAACACTTTTGTATGTCTAATGGTTTTCATTTTATTACACAACAAAATGTTGTCAGGACTTTATGGACACCCGTATATATATGGCATGAGGGGCTTAACTCTAGGTTAATATGTTGCACTTATTACTTCCCTTGTCTATACAACTTATTAACATATCAACATATTAACCTAGAGCTAAGCCCCTCATGCCATCTATATATTATCGAAGTTATTGAAATTTTCATAATGTTTTATGGACGTGTAAATGTTTTTGAAGATATTATGCTATATCCCATCGTAAGATTTTGGTAGTAGAGCGTGGAACTTTGACGCATGAGATCTTAGGTCAAATCCCGCTAATCACCAATGGATTTTATGTATGTGATATTGCTGCAACCCTCTAAGACTAGCCTGGAGTAATGTGTAAAATGGTTTCAGGATAGAACGTAGCGTCCTAGGATGTGAAGGTAGGACAAGCCCCCAAGCTTTGAGGTAGACAGGTGTTAAAAACATTAAACACATAAATCCCTTCATATAAGGGGAATACAATTAAAATATAATCCACGGAGGGACACGAGACAATCAATAATGTGTACGCCTTTTCATGATCATGAGGCGAGTCATTGTCGAGGTCTTAAACGATTACTCCCACATGGGGACCCCTGGTGGTGTCGATATCTGCCCACCTTACACCTCACACCTCACCACTAAACTGGCCAACATCTGTCACAAGACAAGAATATACATCGAGTGAAATAGAAATAAAATTGCCATTGGGGATTGATTATTAGCCTAATTCTTTCATCAATGAATTTATTCCTCGGATTATTTTTAAAAATATAATCCTTACACCTTAGGTTTAACCGTGATAATACTTATACTTTTTTATAACATAGAATAGCGACAACGCGACGTTATTTTCTAGTTTTTATGACTTTACATTCAATGCGAAAGATGGCTGGAACAATCATTAATCATCATTATTTGGAAATAAAAGTACTAATAGCTTGAAGCTCCTGATAAATCTCACAAACACACTGCAGAAAATATTAGTAAAATACAAAAATCAAAATCAAAGGTTATTTTTAAAATATATTTGGAAATACAAGCTAATCAATAGAATTTTAGTTTTAACATAAGATTGAAAAATTAATTAAAAACAATAGTTTGTGGTCGATACACGAAACACTCGATACAACGTAAAAACTCAAAGTAATATTACAGTATTAATATTATAAGATTCTAAGATATTTTCTTTCATTTTATTTATTCCACGGCAATGCCCTTTACAATGTGAACATTCAGTTATGAACTATAAATAATTGTATAATTTCATAATACCACAAGACAATTCTTGATGGATGACTTCATTAAATAACAAATTAAAATTTCAATAAAATACATCAATACAATGCAATTAACAAATATAACGTCAATAATAGAGCAACAAAATAATAAATATTATTGAAGCATGTAGTGTTCATGTAGTGTATATGCAGTGTATATGTAGCAGTGTTTAACATACTCATACGGAAGTCTGAAGTTTTATTTATAATGTTAAAATAGTTATTTATTAATTGCAGGTTTCCTACAACAATAAATATACTTGAAAATTCTCTTTATTAAAACACTGCAAAAGATTCCACGAGAAGTAATCCCTTGTGGCACAGCAAAGAAATATTTCCTCGAAGATGGGACAGTGTCTTCATATTTCAATGTCTTGCGTTTAAACCTCGGCGCTGAAAAATTGAAAGAATACTGTTTTACATTTAGGAAATGTGATAGCAAATTTTTTTGGCTATTAACAAGAATCACTGCAAGCTTGGTTAATACAATAATAAATATATTAAACTACTGTATTATGTTTTTATTTAATACTAAACCCTAGTTTTGACTGAATATTTCGTAGTATTGTTTTCTTTGTATTCTGTACGTCTGAGTAGGACTATACATTTTAGGTGATGTTATATTCTGTACAACTAATCCGGTAGAATTGATAAATAACCGATACCAAAAGGTTGCAACTGTACTATAGGAACGTATGTAAAAGATTTGTATCTTTATCCATAAAACGGCAATGTCTGGGCGATGCAAAGGACATGAGGTAGATAGCCTTGCCCTTCGTGAGTGTCAATGTCGGGGGCAGCGATGCGATGGCGTTACTACCCAGGTGTCAATGACTCATATGATCAACCTTACTACAATATGGTGTCACATTTCAGTAAAATTACGTGACACAACTATAATTTCCAAGTATATTTCAACTCAATGAGAGTTCAACTCATAAATTACTCATGTATACGTATGTAACACTTCATAGAATATGCATAATTTTATTAATAAAAAAATGGCTGGACTAAACTTATTATTAACTATGATTAGCCTAGCATAATATAATACAGACAGACTGGTTTATTAACATGGATAAAAAAATGGTTTTAAAAATAAAATATGAAGATAGGTATGGACTTGGTTATTTATTAAATAAATATAGATACGAATACCTTATATCCAAAACTAACTGCACCATTTAAACAATTGTGACAAATGTTATGCAAAGTTTAAAGAAATTCAACCCTATTCTGCCAGAAAATGTTATGACGTTACCCTTCCACAACTTTAAACTATAAACATTTAGTCTTTTAAATATACTATGCCACAGCAAAAGTATTATTACCTCTAAGGTTAGGGTTTCGGTATCTGACTATGTAATTTCATCATTTAAAAAATGAAGACTATTTCAGAATCAGTTAGTTGCATGGTGTTATTATTTGGTGAATTTCCCATACAAGAAGTAATTTGTTAGTGTAGGTCCTATGGTAAAACCAACCAAGTTGTGCTTGTAGTGAATAAATACACTGTTTTATAAATTGTTTAGGGATATATTTTTATCAAATTTGGTATAGTTGTTAGTTTTATACTAAGCATTAACATTTAAAAACAAACCTTACTACCTTCTCTGTACCAGCAAACCGAAGGACTTGTTAAACCTAATGTTATTTTTAAAGGGAATTAACCTAGCATTTTTAAGGACACATTTGATAGAAAACCCAACCATTCAAATAGAAGTTCATTTAATCTGCAGGTTTGCTGCTGGGGGGGACGTTATTTCTTTGCCCTAAGAAGCAGTTATGGTAATCTATATTCTATATCCTGTAACATTTTCAAAACGGATTAATGATTTTTGGTTTTCGGAGGAGAGGTGTAGCAGGGGCGGGGCCGCGCCCAACAGTCAAGGTCGAGGGGGGCTCACAGGCCCCGGGCCCCACGGTATATAACCCGGGCCCTCCCTGACTCTTCATCAGTACGTGTATCCCAGCACCTCTGAGCTCTCATCTACAATGGCCGCCAAGGTTCTGGTAAGTACCACTACGAACTACTTGCCCAAATTCTTAGTATATTTGATAAAATATAAGAAGTAAATATTTGTACACTATAAATTGAATTAAAAACGGTATACATAAAAAAAAAAATTTGCCCCTGTATAGGGAATGAATTCTACTGTATAGTAGATGCGATGATATATTTTCCCCCAGTTACATATAATTTAAAATGTGTTCTTCGGTCACACGTACCCTAATAAGCGATCCGTTGTCTTTATTAGTTTTATAACTATTCTAAAAAGAAACCAGCTAAATTTATTTTTGGCAATGACAAATTTTGGTGCTGGGTTTTATTTGTATTTTTGTACTATTAATATCATATCAACCACCAAAAGCAAGCTAAATCTTAAAGGGGAGTTTCAACCTCACTGTTAAAAAAAAGTGTGAACCTGTGAAACAATTTTTAATATAACGGCTAAAACTAAATAAAACCCGGTTTAGCCTAATACTCAATAGCAGTGATAATATACATTTTTGTAGCTATAATCTTTAGATTACAAAATATTTTGGAGTAATTAATAATTTATAAATAATGCTCTTCTAAAATTTAGAGTACATGTTAAAACCTTCTTGCTTACATTAAAGAAAAAAAATGTAATTTTATTTCAATTGTTAATATTAGTTCTTGGAATCAGTGTTGATTTTTTATTATCAGAAGGAAGTTTTAACGTCATTAATTAATTTACTTACACCAATTGAGAGTGATATACTAATTTTCAGTACATAAATCATTGTAATGATACAAGTAATTGTATATTAAATATCCTCAATAATAAATGTATTAATTAATATTCACGCAGCTGAAATGTCGAAACGCTGACTATTTCTAATGCTTATATTTCGTTGAACGGTGTAATATGAGTATAAGACAGTTTCTTTCATTTAATTAAACATGCATAAATAAAACAAGAACAAATAATTAAGCTAACAGATTTTCAAGGAACTAACAGGTAAAGGTACAGAGAAGTAGTTGGTTACACCAGTCAATGGTAACACCCAATACAGAGATTACAATGTGTTTGATGTTGTTACAGTTCTGTCTCCTCGTCGCCGTCGCCGCCGTCCTGGCCGCCGACCAGCCTGAACTCGCCCGCGAGAAGAAGGCCGTCTACGCCGCCTATGGTACGTTCACACCATAATATTATCACTAAAGATTATAATATGAGTTTCTAACATCTATTGCATAAAAATACTTTAAAAACAAAAATAATATGCAATACATGTATTTGATATGGCAGTTAATATGTATTACACAAAATATCAACTTAACTGAATTTGAATGGTAATGATAAAAACATAGTTAGTTAATACTGTATACCTTCTTTTTTAGTTTTTTGAGTACATTATCCTCCCAATTTTTTTTTTTTTACCAAAGCAAAACAATTGACGTTAATCATTTAAAAATTACTAGCTGCGGAGATCTAATGTAATTGTTAAATAATACATTATACATTATTTTGTTATTGACTATTTAGTGCAAGAAGAACAGATATTTTAAGAGTAAAACTGATTGCGAACAATTTTTACCTCTTCTTTGTTTTTACAGGCTACCCCTACGCTTCCCCCGCCGTAGCTTACGCTGCCCCCGCCGCATACGCCCCCGCTGCCTACGCCGCCCCCGCCGCCTACGCTGCCCCCGCTGCCTACGCTCCCGCTGCCTACCCCTACGCTGCTGCCGCCTACCCCTACGCCGCCGCTGCCTACCCTTACTCCGCCTACCCCTACGCCGCTAAGGTCGTCTACTAGACTTCTATCTCCGAAATCCTTGCCCGGCCATAAATTTTGAACTTCAAAATATTTCATCAATTGGTCTCTTTCTCGCCATGTGTTCACTTCAGTCACCAAATTAAACAGTTATCTCTTATTTTCCATGTTTTTTATGTTCTATCCTTATTAAATGACATTTAGTCAGTAACTATAAGTCAAAGTAAAAAAAAAATTATACAACAAAAATAAATATAATGTAAGCATATTTATATTTTTATATTTATGAAACTATCAAATCTTAAAATATGTCACATAAAATTATAGGGGTAATAGGCTATAGACATGCATTGATGAGGTGGGCACAATGAAACCAAGCAATTTTGTTTGATTAATACATACTGCCTCTCCGAGCATTGCACTCTTTAGTCTCAAATTCTACGAACCTTTTATACGATATCCATAGAAGCTATACACCACAGTAAATAACACCTTTAATAAAAACAAATCATCTATGAGCCCTAACAGTTAGATGTATTTATCAAATGGTAATTATAAAACATAACCTTAGTTGACACTCACAAGAATGTTGAAATGATTACAAAGTCACACGGATCTTTATCAGTCATACAGCCACGATTGATAAACTATGTCTATGTAAGAGCCAATCATGTCTTTAAGGTACAAAAAAGCTTTGAACATAATCAAACAACGAAAACAAAGGAATCTGACAACAACAATAATTACGTACACTATATGAGATACAGGATTTTTAAATTCATAATTTATGTTATTGGTAAGTCCAAAGTTGCGTGTGTATACATCAATACAGCAAACTAAGTATGAAGCGAATCGAAGAGGCTAAAACACGTACTGCACTCAAAGAAAAGCACGTCGACTAACAACAAATAGAATGATCCTATTTATTGCAATATCCAAGCTCCATTGCAGTTTCCACATTTTTATACACTTTGGTTTTACCTTTAGTTCACTAGTATAACATCACAAGCAATGAGGTTCCTTTAAAAACTTTGCTAGCTAAATTTCACAGAGGACAAACTTGAATTTTAGCTTATATAGATTATACTACTAGTTTACCTTGTCGTTTACCTGTGAAAACATAGTAAACAAAGCATTTTATTGTGCACAGTAAGTTATTCTTTGTCCATTATACGCTTTGTCCTAGAACATACGTTTAAGAGCACTTACCGTTAAAACAGATAAAGCCATTTTGAGCATTTGTAATTCTTATGTCTGTTCTTAAATCCAATTTACCAAAACCTATTTAATGTTAGCTATGAGTAAACTGTACTGTATTCTACACACAATTGTGTGGGTTAAACACGCAAGTTCATTAGGAAATTATCAATTTTAATCCTCTATTCATGCTTAAAATGTTACTGGAACAAAAACAAGTGTTTAAAAATATTATTACTCAAGCTATCATGATTATATTTAATGGAAATTCCAATTTTTAACTTCTTAGGACATTGTGAACATTTAATTGATCTATTACTAAAAATAATATTATATTTCATTACTAGGGTCGATAATGGTGTTTTTGATGCATGTCATATATACATGGTACACTCGTATATAAGGCATATATCAAAGCCAATTGTCAGAAAATGAACAAAACATCGAAAAAATTCCTACTGCAGATTTTGTTTTGAGAACTGATTTATTTTTCCGTTGTTGCAGTTTTGCTTGAATAATGGAAATAGGTAGATAACATTTGGTAATTTCTTCATGCTAGGCTGTTAAAGTTTCACTAAAAACACTTCATTGCTTTCTATTTAGCAGTAAAGTTAAGCACTTGTTGATCATAATGTTATTTAAATAGAGAACAAATCTGGAATCTTGAGAGAGATATTTTTTTGTAAATCCAATCAGGTAAATTAGAATTTACTTAGTCTGAAGGTTTGCTGATGAAGGGGTATTTACTATCTGTGAATACTAGCCGCTGAGTATCATCTATTTGTACTGATTATTTATCCTGCCATAGGACCAAATTGCTATGTATTTATATCTCATTACAATGGTATGTCTAATAGATGGTGTTCCGTAACATTACCTTTTAAGTACCTATTTTTTATACAAAACTGTGCTATTTACAACATAATTAAGAATATACATTTGATAACACATGTAACACTTTAATCAGGTATCAATGCTAGAATAAATGAAGAAAAGAAAATACATAAAAATACAAACAAACTAAAAACATCAAAACCTTAGTGGACAATTTTTAGGAACCAAAACAAACACCTTGAAGCTATTTTACGATTATCCCATTAGCCATTGTCAAAGGCTGCAAAATAAGAATACGAATAGGAAGCTAATATTTGAGAAACAATATGTATTGCAACAAAATTTATTGAAAATTACACCCTAGTTTCATTCAATGCTATAACTAATAACTGTTAACGTAAACTTCATTTAAGTAAAGTACAACTACAATTACACGAAAACTACCAATAACCGTAACACATATATATTTAATAAAGGTAAATATAGTTTCAAGAGTACTTGAACGACGAATAATTCATCAAATAGTTATTGACGGTTGACTATAAATCATTCAGCGTGACTATTAGTAAGCAAATACTAATTACAGTGTACATTTCATTAATAGACCACACATGTAAGTCAATGACTTGAGTGACATTGTTCATTCAATATGACATTTAAAATGACAATTTAAAATATGTAAATGATTTTAAATAAATCTTTATTCCGAACGTTGAGGCGATAAAGTAATATTCAGACCCTGTGACATGATGATTCCAATAATCATTCACAGCAATATCACACCTTCACATGTGAATGCCACTCAATTGTTTGAGTACAATGACTTGACGAGATCGTGTATGACCTTGCAGTGAAAGGGAAAGCGGGGCAATCACCTCTCATCACAAGGTACAAGGCCGCAAACATCATCTCAATCGTACCTCTTGATCAAAATAAAACATATGTTAGTCATTTGAGTGGTTATTATTTTATTTTTCTCTTCAATTAACTTCGTCATCGGGCTTATAACATACTGAAATGGTTAAATTATTCGCCTTAAAGTTTTTGAAGGTTACACTTCTATATCCACATTATATTAGTCAATTCTGGTCCTAGTTTAAAGTTATGTTTGCAGACTAAAAATATGCTTTCTTACAGGTTCCTAACGAAACAAGGAAACAATAATTGAAATTATTAGGGAATTTAAAGTGGAGAGAATAGTTTTAGGCTTGATGTAATGGAACTGAATAGAGATTACCATGAATAATTAATTATATCTTACCAATCTTGAATTTAGTCTTGAGGTTAATATTGTCGAAGAATGAGAAAGTCCTTTATATAACTTTAAAATACAATTATATAATCTATAGAGAAAATCACCAACAAATAAATGCAAAATGAATTAGGAAAAAACTGTGATGTATTTCTTGACCATTTTGAACAACAATAATATTATCAAAACAATAATCACATGTAGTAAAATTGAAAAACCCAAAAAACATGTGTTGGAGACAGACTAAAATAAAATAAACCATAGAATACTAAACAATAATTTTGAGAAATCCCTTATATGTGAACACCGTATTATGAATATAAATATTCAAAATATATCTTGGTCAATATTATGAGAGAAAATGCTAAGTAAATATTGGTTATACTAGTTTTTAAAGATTTTTTATTAGTTTTATTATTGTTGTTTTATGAGATGGTTTTAAATTGTATAAGTAACATATTCAAACCTAATAACGTTAATTTAATAACCATCTGGTTCTTATAAAACCATTAAAAATATAATAAAAAAAGATTTTCTTCTATTTTATAAAAATGATTTGTTTACATAATATTATCTTTGGCCGTTTTCAACCGTAATGTGTTAGTAGATTTTTATTAGTTTCAATTTAAATATAAAAAAAAAATAGTCGATACCGTGTTCCTATTTATTGATAAAGGATATACAATTTTTATTCATTGTGTTTATAATAACGATATATTTATATGGACTAAAAACATTTTATCAAACAAAGCACATTGACGGAAAAAATTCCTACAAACCTAAATTATAAGCTACACATGAACAAATACAAGGGTAAGTTGTAACACATTAATTACTAGGTAGGACATAGGAATATGTTAAACAATTTGTTTGGATGCACAGTATTAGTTTTTTTGTGTGAGAATACACGCACTAGTCCTACGTAAGAGTTACATTTATTGTACTCTTAATCATTAATTAATACAAATGCCCATCTGTATGCTGTCCTATGTGCATTAACGGCTGGGTATTAATGCTAATTTGTAGTAGTAATGCATACATTACATGCAACTGTCTGGTTAGCTGAGTGGTTACATAGTGCTCGCCTTCAAACGTAATGGTCACTTGTTCAATTCAAAATACATATCCTGGATTTTGATGCTGTTCGTCATAGGGAAATCAATCAATGGGCTGTAAAATACGATGCTATTAGAAAAAGTTTAAAGTTCTATATAATCAAAGTCAGAGTATGGACCGTTAACTTACAAAAAAAGGTGAACAATGCCCATATTTTTTATAATAAAAAATACAACATATAGTCGTAAGATAGTTCACAGTTTTGGGGAGACAATAAGTTAAGATAACTCTAAAAGCAGGTTAAATTCTATTAAGCTGTAACTGATAACAAATATTGGTACATAATTTATATTATCATCACATAAATAATAATGCCTTCTAAAATATAAACTGTTTGTTACTGCATTGTTTACATGAAAATGATATGTGTAGTCAAACAATTATAAAATGCATTTTATAAAAATAATTATCTACATATTTGATCCCTACATGAAATGTTTTTCCGATAAGAATGTTTACCTTTTAAGACATGCCTTCTCACAATGTACATCAAAGCACGCGTCTGAATGTGCAAACTGGTTTTAGATTTTCGATTCAAGCCATGAAAATTGAAAAAAAACAGCAAAAGCCTGTTTGTTTACATTTACAATTTGAGGTTTAGAGAGTCCTATATTTTTATTTTATTTTCCACTAAGACCAACCATAGACTAACCAACACACAAGTAGACTTCCCATACCATTGTAAATTTTGAAGCTCGTTATAGTGGCTAGTGTTGACAAAATTTTGTTCCTATTATTTTACAGTTTATTTCATGATTTGT